CTTCTGCTGCATGCTCTACCACTGAGCTACAAAGAATTCATTATCACCCTTCTTCTTCTTCTTAATAGTGGAGCTCGCAAAGCATAGCCCCATAATTATACAAAATGGTAGTAGTAAACCATCAAGCCGAAAAATTTGGACTTATGACTGTACGGCCATCCATACAAGGTGCTTCTTTTAGCATGCACAGTCAACTGTACTGCGGGAACACCAATGCCATGGCTCCAGTAGTCCAGTGGTCAGTTCACTGGGCTCTGAGTTAGATGACCCAGGTTCTAGTCCTGGCTGGAGCAAGGCGTTTTGCCCTTGAAATGGGGGGGAGGGGATGCAAGCTCTGCTTTTAGGCTTGGCTAAATCTATATAATTTTATTATAATAATATGTAACTTCTCCTTACAATGACCATATAAGAGTACTCAAAGCTATCAAGTAAAAGTTGTTATCTTGATCTAACACCAAATTCTTTTAACTAATTTACAAAGGGAATGAGTTGCAGCCTGAGGGGAGAATTAACGATCAGAAGTTGGGAGTTAGAGGGTTAAGCTATTCTCATGGTAAATTTTTTGCCCTGTCCATCCCATTCAATCCCATCTCAACAAGGAGCACCTCTAGCAGTGTACAGTTTTCTGGTCCTACACTAACCAAACACAGGTGTTCATAACTACAGATTTCTTTATAATACAGCCAGCTAAAGATGCAACCATTAATTATTCCACTTTTGCACTTATTTACCATACTACGGCAACAAAACATGCAAAATATGCCCCAGTACTACACCACAGAACAAGGTAAAAATACAGACTAAAAGTGGAGGAACAAATTGGCAGAACTGAACAAACCCAACTTCCCTTTTTTCCCTTCTTTTAGTCATTACATTTCCCACAATGAACTTTCACATCAATCTGATAACTATTTGCTTTGTTTGTGTTGCTTTGGTCTTTTACATCTTTTGCATCTGCCTTAAACAATCAGCATGATGCTCAGATATGGCTCAGATGTGAAGTATTTCAAAAAACTAGAAGCCACAATATGATAAAATGAAATAAAAGTGGAATAATAAATCACTTAATCAATTTTAAGATATAATACAAGCAGACATTTTGCTCATTGGTCACATTTTTCATCACCCCTACAGGGTGCAAAAAATACCAAGCAACTTGCAAAATACCTAGGGATATTAAAATAATTGTTTAACCATTAAATAGGGTGTATAATGGCACCGAATCCTTGTGGTGCCTCAGAAGTTTTCTTTGTCCTTCACTTGTACAAAAATTTAGCGCTTGATATAGTTTGCTGCACGAAGATAACAAAGAAAGAAACTCACACAGTAAATCACTTGCCTGTATATGAAGGCAGCAACATTTGTGCTACACAAATTAGTTTCAATATACCATTTCTGTTGTAAGCCCCTCCACAGACTAGGGATTAAGTTGTCTACAACTATTTGTTATCGACCACTAAAAGTTATCAACAACTAAATAAGTCCGATAAAGGGATTGCACACACTGGCGCTCAAATACTGATTTAGCAACCGATACACGGGAAGTTTGGGCACCAGGAGCTTACTGTGCATTCTCAGTATCGCCATAACGCCATATATATAGCAACTCTTTCATCGACATCAATGGACTGCCTCATTCTTCTCGTTTCTCGGTGAATATAAGGGATCAACCTTTCAGCAATAAGAAGAAACGTATCCATCTACTCCCAAATTGGTGATAAAATCGCCGTCATTCCAGTTTCTACAGCACGTTGGTCAAAATTCCCTCGAATGAACTTTTACGCCAAATTTGCCGTTCAATCATTTTGGATAAAATATCCTGCACCACAACTTGTTGGTGGGCACAAGCTGCCGCAATAATGACATCGTTAGTGTCGTTTCCACCTCCAAGAACAGGATGTGGAGAAGAAAGATCAAAAAGAATGTTTTCTTTACCGAGTATTTTACTTCTGCAATCCTCCATGTTTTAATCCGGCTGGGAAAGCCGCTGACACAATAGCGCAGAGATTTAAAAGTAGTCGACCACTAAAACAAAAGTTTTCACACTAGAAAAACGCTAAAAAATGAGGCTGTCGACAACTATTAGTTGTCGACAACTAATAATTTGCGGTTTAGTTGTCGACAACTTGTGCCACAGACTACATTGATAACTTTTAGTTGTCCATCACAAATAGTTGTCGACAACTAAATCCCTAGTCTGTGGAGGGCCTAAGTTTGTGTTATTTGTAAGCTTAGTGGCCTCAAATAAACAACCCTTTAGAAACAGTGTGACCCTCCCCAACTAACCTTCTGCCCAGACACAATTGTTTTTGATTTTGATGATATAGCTGAGTTATCAGACTGAAAATCATTTTTTACTTGTTAGACTTTCCAAAACAGGCTGAAAACAAAACTGAGAGTTATATCGCCAAAATCAGTTCTAAAGTTGTTAAATACTAAAATCAACTTGAAGTTACCCACAAAACTGTTGAAAGCTAATAGCTATTAATTATTAATCACCACTTCCTATTTTATATGACAGACCGTCCAAACAAAAAAAGCAAATATTATACTATTATACTATTAAAAAAAGCAAATATTATACTCAGGATGATAAGGGAAAGTCTCAGTGTGCTAAATAAGGATGTCTTGATCTTCAAAGCTAGCTAAGAAAAATTTGGAGTCCGCCGAAGCTGTACCGTACGTTTGAAGAGTAATGCAAACAAATTAATCAAAATTACTCCACGCTATGGCAGGTGGAGAAGCCATAAAAAATTCTGATGACACGCAAAGGCATCGGTGATCGACAAATAATATCGAAAAACTGTCTTTACTTGGCTCATTTGATTGGAAAATCGAATCGAAATGGGAAACGAGAAGTGGATGAATTTAGGACACGCACGATCTACAAGTTTTTCAAGCCTAATATAACTGCTTATCCACTAAAATAAAATAAAAAAAAAACAGCGTCTCTGAAACACTGGTTTGTGAAGACATTTTGACAGAAAGAGGTGAAACCTGCAAAATTGTATTGATTCATCAAAACTAAATAAGTATTTGATGCCTTTTTGAATTCCTCATCGGTTATCAACACATTCGATGATGCCTGGTCTGTTCATCGCCAATTAACACAGAAACAAGTTCTCATTCAAATAATTCCATAATCAGTGAAGTAAAGAGACAGAAAATAATTTCTCTCCGTAGCAACCAAAGCAGATTTAGGGTTCATTAGTACTTTGTACCTCGAACACTTCAAATGCAAATTAAACATGCTGCTTCATTCATGTTTATCCTGTGGCTTCAACTGAACGTCACAAACTTCAAGATGTTAACTTAAGGTTTACTTTAAAAGTAATCCGCTTGCAACGAAAGAAAAGGAAGAAAGTTTTACGTGAAAAACAGCAGTAATCTTCGTGATCGGCCGTGTCCGTAATATGCGCTATGGACTCGTCGCACGTCAAAACAAACCTGGTTTACACTTACTAATTAAAGGCTACTGTGGCCAACAATTTCACAGACACACTCACCTCAGTCCCTGAGATCTGCTCTTATTGCACTGGTCGCACTTTGTTTTCCTACCATTTCCCGTCTTAGGAGAGTTAGTTTTCGTCAGAATCGATAACACGGGGTCGGATTTCAGAATATCACCTTCACTGCTGGCCCGTACGACTCCATCTCGTTCGTTTAGAATCCAGTGTGTCGCCCCCATAGTATCTGAACTCCATAAAGTCGCCGAGACAATGTACAGAGCCAGGTACGGGAAGTACGGGTAATCCCCAGTCATCGCTGGAGTTGCAACAAGTGTGAATTATATTGACAGTACAAAAGGATTATACTACAAAATACTCACATACATAATTGCGTCCAAAATCGACTTTCAGTAACGCTGCCACTGAGCATGCCCCGTGGGTTCCCTGTAATAAAATGGAGTGAGATACCCCGGATTGAAATCAAAGCGTTCATAGACAAGTTAGTAGGGACTTTGAGCGGTCAGGACGGCAACGCCACGGAAGACGTCGATTAAAAAATGAGTTTCTACTTTTAGTTAGAATTTCGGAAATGGCTGCATGTGTTTACCGTCTCATAGGGCGTCAGAACTCAAACTTAAGATAACGCATAAAAGTAGCGTGGAGTTCCAAATGTAAATTGAAAGAATTTGCCGCCGCGGTTTCGGCTCGCAGACGACGCAAATTTTGGTGATTTCACGTTGTTGTTTTGCAAAGAAAGGCTAAGAAATGTACAAAGTTTTAATACCCACGTGCTGGGCTATTGTTCTGCCAATTAGATCTATTGTTTTTACATGTTCTCGTTGCCGTAGCCGTCGGGGTTTGCTTAACGTCCCCAATTTTGGTCGCTACGGGTGACACAGCGGTAAAATCCTGTACGCTCATTTTTGGTTTCAGAGTACTCCATTTTTCTGGTGATTATATGTCTGGTGTGATACGAACAATAAAAGAAGATTAAATTGGGGATAGTTTCTATTCTTAGTTGAAAGGAACAGAAATGTTGAGAACCAAAATTGTTGGAAACGGTTGTGGGGGRGGGGGGGGGGGAGTTTTCCACGCCTGCAGCTGGACAGATATCCTAGGATACTGTTTTGAGGAACGAAAGGTTTGTAGCGAATGTGTAATTTTGGTTTGTTTTTTTTTTTCTTACATTTAGGTTTTAAATTTCGTACTCATTCATTTATGATGATTCTCATCCTTAACTTTGAGTTCACATTGGCTCTCGGCGATAGTTGCTATTTCTGCTTGGCTGTTGCGATTGCTCTACATTTACTTTACTGCGCCACGTGATTAATTCCAAATTTACTCATCCCATCACAGGCAAATCAAAACCAAGAACGATTTGATCGCGCACTTTGATCATAGCAAGGGTCTTCATTAAACTTTCCTTCCCCACGCTTGAATGTAGTGATTATCTTTCGCTCTAGGAGATGCACTCTGGACACAGAACCTCACAATTCTCCAACAATTCTTCCCTCAGCTTATTCTACAAGGAATGAATTTGACAAGGTCTCCTGATGGGTAGGCGTCCATTGTTTATTTGTAACATCTAACTAAATTACAATGCACATAAAATAATCGTCAATGAACAACTAAATAAATAAGAATTTATAGCCACAATCTAGCAAATATGCAGTAAATAAATATCTCTATATTATTACAATCTCCCTGAGTGTACTTAGTAAAAGGTAATGTGTCAGTAACCTTCATTGTAAAACTCGTTAGAAACAGCAATGAGGCTTGCTACGTATTGAAACGTTTTGCAATTGCCGTAAATACACTGATCTCAGATTCACTGAAGAAATAACCAGAGAAAGCTGGTTGAATTAAGTAATTATCCTCTTGCAACTAATGAGTTCTGTTAACATGTGAGTATTTTGTAAAGTCTAGAAAGATTCTCCGCGAGGAACACGATGCTGGTGATTACAACGGCTGGCGCACAAGAGGAGGACTGTGTGTGAGACGCGCGTGTCTGCGCCCTCTTGCACGCGTTTCACGCATACTCAGTCTCGCTTCATGAAGCAGAGTGATTTTAGAGTTTCTTTATCATAGTTCCATGACAACGCCAACAGGACAAACAACAAAAGAAATTTCCAAGCCGAAATTTCCAAGAGCCTTTTCTAAGGTGCTTCTGACCTGTATGTGAGAGAAATAATACACATCAAATCTATGAGAAACTTGCTAGTCGGAGTACGTCTTCCAGCCATGCTTCACTACACTGGATCTATACGCTTCTTAATAGTCTCCTCGGGTCCTTGTGAATCCTTGCGTAACGTTCCTTGCAGTACGTACTTCCTGACAGTACGTTACGCGACATTTTTTCGCTCTGTTTTCTCATGCACAGCATGAAGCAACTAGGAACATTGATACTGCTCTTCCCCCCCACCCCCCACCCCCACCTTTCTCCACTGCAATCTGGTACCATTGATTTATTAACCCCCAAAGAATGATGGGCATTTAATTTCTCTCAACAGTATCACCCCCGAGGCCCCGCCCGCACGTATCCGTATTCGTTTCAAAACGCAACTTTTTCCACCGTTTTCAAAAAAATTCGCGTCTACACGAAGCGTTTTCGCCCGTCCACACGTATACGATGTATCCAGACACATGCGTATTCGCTTCTTTGAGCCCGTGGGGTGGATTGGAACTGATAGTGTGATGTCAGCGTTTTCGAAAAGTTCCGTTTTCGTCCGTCCAAACGGACATGCGAAAACTGCGTTTTTAAAAGGTTCCACTCTAGGGAGCGTGCGGAAGCCGTATCCGCATAGAAAAAGTTGCGTTTTCAAATGAAAACGGATACGAGTGGACGGAGCCTAAATCAAATAATAACGTCTGAGAATAAAGGAAATGATTGCAAACTCAAGAAGCTCTTGATTGTTGATTGTTGAACAAATTCTCCTAGAAAGTACCATAGGAAACGTAAAGAGAACGGCGTGGGGAACATGCATACTGTGGTGAGGGTGTAAAGAGTGAACGTACTCAAACTTCTACTAGAAGCAAACCCAGACCTGTCCGCTCAAAAGTACAGCATGCTTACCGTTATGCTGCCACGTTTTCCCTTTGCTCTCATATACAATTTGATAATTAAAATGGCACCATACTATTATTTCGAGGCTCACCTTTAATGAGTGTTCAAAGTCACAGTACACCCACACCTCATCTTGTAATCTCTGCAAAAAAGCCACATCAATCTCAATTCAGTTCAGTTCAATTCAACCCGGTAATCTGTGACAGATTACCTATTACGGTTACATCAGGTTTCCTAGCTGGTCACATCAATCTCAATTCAGTTCAGTTCAATTCAACCCGGTAATCTGTGACAGATTACCTATTACGGTTACATCAGGTTTCCTAGCTGGTCACAAGTAACCCATTTAAACTGATGATAGAAATGCTGTTACAGCTGAAAGTTGTTCCAAAGAGTACAGGCCTTTCCTAGCTGGCATTACTAGCAAGATCAATGCATTTCT